TGCAATCTTAATATTCCCCTGAAAAAAATGGAATAGGAAGATAGAAAGGAATCAGATCAAAACAAGACCACAACCTAGTAGGGCCAACATTAAATCCTATGATTCCATTTTAGCATTGAAACACATGGTGGCAAATCATGAGTTCCAGAGGGTCTGGGAGCTCCTATCTTTGCTAGACTTGATGGTTGTGGCCAACATGGCCTTTTTCTTGGGCCGCCCCTTGTCAGTGTCTGCAGTTTTCCTGGGCAGACATTCCACTTTCTTGGCATATTCAGCATCCTGAGATCTCACTTCTGAATTCACTCTCCATTTCATGCACTCACCCCTCAGTGAAGCATGGATGCCTAGGCCTTGGAATCTGGGAGGAGGACTTCATGACCCATAATTCTTGCATTATGTGTAAGTGGAAAACCAGCAACCTGTGGATGATGTCAAGTCTACCATCAGCTTAAACAGTGCCAGGCTTTCTCAGGCAATGGTCTCAGTGGTTTTTGAGTGCCTGGATGGCTTAGCAATGAATTCTAGCACAATTTAGACAGCCCTTCTCAAAGTGGGACCTAGGGGCTCACTTGTCAAATGAAATTTTTGTATCTTGCATTTTCAACCCTGCAAAAGGTGGGGGTTTGCTGATTCTTGAGATGCCCTTAAGGGATTGTTCTTTTTCACTCTGTGCAAAGTACTGTGTTTCTTTCTACTGTTCCTAAATTCTTCAGTAACTCTGCCTTCTTTGAATCCAATGTTATTCTTTTTGTGGTGTACTAAAATTTAAATTTTCAAATTTTTCTGTTATGTTTTCATTAATTCTCATCATAAGTCTACTAATAAGTAGCCATCAGTATCCAATGCATACCCTCAGCATTTAATAGTGTTGAAATTTCTTCCATTAGATTAATTATTCTCTCTCTGTTAAATCCCACCTCACAGAAAGTCTAAGGGCATGAACAAAACACAGACAAAGCCTTTGTCAACATGTGCCTTGTGTGGTCTCTACTCCATTTTCAAATATTCCTTTCAATGGAACCCCATGAGCCTGGCCTTCACTATCCACATTCTTATCAGTATTCTGCTCTTTTCAACTCTGACCAGCATCGCCCATGAATCCTTCAATCAACAAAATTTACAAACTCTCCTAGAAACTAGTTCCAAGGGCTTCTGAATAATGACCATGCATAGTCACAGCAATGGCCCTATATCTCTGGTTCCAATTTTATGCATATTGGCAAGCTTTTGCATAGCTGGGAGAAAACACCCAATATCTGCAATTTAAAAGAAAAGAGTTTAATGTGACTCAGGCCTCAGTGTGTATTTGGTTGGCTGCAAGACATGAACATCATGGCAGAAGAACATGCAATAGCAAAGCTGCTCACTTCTGAGCTAAGGAATAGAGCCAAGACAAAGAGCACCAGAAGCAGACTTGTCCCCTAAAATGACACCTCCAGTGACCTACATCTGCCAATCCAACAGCACATGTGGTGGATTAATTTCCATGAATCTCTTAATCAGGTTGAAAAGACTGATTAGCACACAGAGGAATCCAAGAAATGTACAAATAAAACAATAATGTAAGGTGGCAGGCAAAATGTTTAATGTTTTTTGATTTAAGTCCTCAAGTCACTTTTTGGTACAAGTCTCTAAAAACATCATACATACATAATCACTGATAAGAGCAAAATTTCCTCCTACAACAATTATTTTGTAATTGTTTGTTGGTAGTGTACATTGTGTTAATCTCAACAAAGGTCTTTGTACCCCTTTCTCTGTAGTGCTGCCGACTTGCCAACATAGTAGTTTGTTTATAATCAAATACAGTGTGAGTGAATCAGCAATACATTCATGATACTGTTCTGACCAATGAGATCTGAGGTCATTTAACTGAGGGAAGACACTTTTTCCTTCTTAGAGTTTCCAGGGGGTAGACATTTCTCTTTCTGGTATCTGAGAATATGAACTTTAGCCCTGGTGCATCCATTTTGATACAATGAAAGAAGCCAGCCTCAGAAGAAGGAAAATACTACACAAGATCAATTCTGAATCCATCCTATTTCTCTTATGATTCAGTTTGAATTAGGTTTTCTATTGCTTGTGACATATATCAAAACTGATATACAATTATTTTGTTTTTTTAATTTCCAAGTGCACAAAAATAACCAGTTACTATCACTCCCATGCCTCAGTGTCACATACCTGAGGTCAACCTGCTGCCTTGAAGGTGAGTGACCACAAGGTCACAACTGTTAACATTACTATGTTCTTTTTCATGGTAGTTTTTCATGACTGTATTTTACGGTGCCTGCCCAGCACAGGCAAAGTGGTATGCTGTGTGGGGAGGACATGGCACAGTGTTAAGTTAGGCCTCCTGTGCCACCTAGTTAGTTGAATGGAAATCCGTGTTTATCAGACATTATACACATTTATGTTAATGGGTAAAGTTCAGAGATTACCATAATAGAATTCCAACCTACGTTATGTGAAGATAGACAGGCATTTAAACACAGTCATATACTTTCTTGTTTAATTATTAAACTTTGGTTTTCTGTAGTATTTGACTTTAATGTTAAGTAAAATGTATAAAAGCACCTTTTGTTACACACACACACACACACACACACACACACACACATACAAACTGTATTATATATTTTATATGTGGTGCAAGACAATTCCTTTTTACCCAGGATTGCTTAGAAAGCCCTAATGTTGGACACCCACCCAACTTAAATAGATAAAGCATAGGAATAAAAAGATAATTAAAGATATCTCCTTAATTATATTATTGGAAAAATACATGGCCTTCCACATACAGTTTTATTTATTGCTAATTCACTGTTATAACTAACCAAACAAATAAAATATCTTAAGATTTATGGTTCAAGGGTACTTTAAGGTTCCTGATTTTCTGCGATGGGTAAGACTCTCCACTGATGTCCCCTCAGTAATGTAGGTCTAACAATAAGATGTGACCTGTAAGACCCTTCCTAGTCGGGATCCTCCCTGTGCTTTCTGTATGTAGCTAGCACTCACCAACATGCCTGGCGCTCCGGACTCCACAGCTCTGCTCCTCTTCCCCGTATACATATTTTAATTTTTATACCAATGATTTTTGGTCAAGCCCTTTCTTTCCTTTTCAAGAATAGTTCATTTCTCTATACAGAAACTCTACTTCTGCACTTTGCTCCTTAGTTTTGATTCTATATTATTGAACACTTGTCTTTAATGCTTTAATTTTTCTCCATAATTGAGCTGTCAAATCCTAAGAGCAGGGACTGATATTTATTTCTGTTGTAATAGCCCTGAAGCCTCAAGTACTATACAGCATAGTAGACAGATATTAAACATTCATTTGATTAATTGAGCATGTTTTTACTATTTATCTTACAACATCTGTTTCACGGATCAAGTAAAAGAATTTGAAGTAAGATAATATTGGCCTAAACTTGCCAGATTTTGTAAGTAAAATACAGAATGGTCAGTTGAACTTGAATTTCGTATAAATAAAAAAGGACTTTTTAAAAAAGTATAAATGTATCCCATTTATTTTGGGGACATAATAGTACTCCAAAATTGTCTATTTTGTAATCTAAAATTCAAGTTTCATTTGATGTTCTGTACTTCATGTGACAGTACTAGATTGGTCTGACCTGAGATAAAAATAACTGTACTTATTTTTCTAAATTAGAACAAAATACTACAGTCATGATCTGTTTCACCTTACACAGTTTTGCCTATCAAGTTATACTGTACATGCCATATTTTTCTGTTGCTCTTCCCAGCACTGGCAAAAAAGAGCCTGAGTATCCACTGTGTGAAAGTCACCATGTATGTCTGTGTCCACAGAGGCCAGGACAAATGAGATGCCTGACTTGCCCCAGGATTTCCTATTTGCTGGGACAGACAGCCATTCAAGTCTAGGCTTCTTGATGTCAGTGCTGCCACTAATGCAAATTATCTGACACAGCCCTATGGAGACAAGGTAAGACACTATACCCACAGTGTGTAAAAAATGAGTCATATTGTTGTTTTTGAATTACACACTAAATAGTTCCTAATTCTGAAGCATTATGTAAACACTATAGTTTGTGAAAATAATTACTCGTACTTCATTTCGGTCAGCACACTGAAATATCAGATTTCCTCAGTGAAGTTCCAGTTCTTATTGTCAAAGATTCTTTTTGTGTTACTGAATATTTAGTATTTTTTTTAGCAAAAGCGAAGAAAACATTATATGATATCTTGTCCTCTCAGTTTAAGTCCTTCACAGGTAAAAGTGTAAGTGGTGACCACTTACACTAAGGGATTTATATAAGTAATTGTGAGGATCCACTGACTTAGAATGGACCTTTCTGTAGTGGCTTTGGTGTGCTTTCGCTAATCTCTCGTCGTGCAGTCTTTCCGTAACAGAGAAGAGGATGATGGGAGATATGGTGTTCCTGCCAGTGTTACAAGGACAGTGTACATGTGTGGGAAGTTTGATCATTTAAACCTTCGCTATAACTTTCATTAGCTATGTGTCACATAAATTCAGGGCTACTTTTAATAATCACATACTTAAATCCTAAGAACAAAACATACTTTTATAATAGCGCTAATGGAACATGCATGTGTGTTTGTGTAAAAGCATTTCTCAGATTTAAAACAGATAGTACGAGGTATTAAAGCGACATCACTGTAACATGCAACACACTGATTTTCAGTTTGAGAGTAGTGTCAGATTTTTCCTTTATTTTCTAAGCATAAGCTGTTTATCGCAGCACTGCAATGTATTTTTATGGAGGTCACTTTAAAATAACAAAGTGTAGTCCATAAAATAATTTTCTTTGGTTTGTTATTAATATAGCACATGAAATTACAAATGGACTCATGTTAAAATTTGACAAGAACATTGAGGGGAGTTATAACAACCCCAGTGACTGCCAGCAACCCAGTTAACACTGACATTCTGGGGCGTCTCTGGAAATTATGGAATCCTCATGACAGCGTGTCTCTATGTTCTCAGAAATTACCTTGGGGAGCTCTTCAATCTGATTGGCATCCAGATAAAGCTCCTCTAATGTCCGCTCGAAGTTAAAGACCTCCTTTGGCACCTGCTGCAGGCTGCAGTGGGAATAGTCTAACACTGAGATGATTTCCTCTTCACCCCGGAAACATCGGCAGGGCACCAGGCGGCCGATGATCTTCCGCTTGGTGGTCATCTCCAGGCACTGCACTGGAGAGAGAGACAGAAAAGAATGTTAAAAAAAATCACAACAGTAAACATATCCTCAAGATTGCTTAATCATTCTTATGATAGCTTGACCTTCAAAATTTAATTTCAGTGTAATCTTATAATCCTAGAATGAAATGCTTTGCAGCTTACATAGGATATAATACATACTGTGCCACTGAATTCCGACAAAGCCCAATGAAGTATATGACCTAGCTTTCATCCCAACTGAACCAACAAAGACAGTGTTAGAGTCTTTGCAACATCACATACTGTGGAGTGGCAGAATTAGAATGGACTATATTCCCTGATCAGTTCAATTCTATTCTTTTGACTATGCTCTCACTTGAAACAAGGATCTATAACATGCTTTTAAATTTCACACAAATTGCAGTGTTGAAAAGAAACTTCCAGCACTTGTTTTTAGCAAACATGTTTCTTTCATTTCTGTAAAAAAAAAAAATCCAAGTGGCACCTGTAAACTTGTGAGGTGCTCTTGTTGACTCCCAGATTCATTCTATCAATAAACAGATACTGGGTAATGGCTGTGTTCCAGGAACTGACCTAGACTCTCCAGAGGGAGGGAAGAATTGAATGGGCCCTTCTGTTAGAGCTGCTGCTTAGAAGTGGATGGTATTCATTCCAGAATCAGTCTACCTTTATGAATTTTAAGATTCGGGAGCAAGAGAACAACTTGTAGTGATCATAGAAACTCCTGTGATCCCCTAACACCTTTTTCTTATTCTCCTAGGTCAGAATGACCAAATGTCATGCAGTCTTGCAGACTTGTATCAAAGCAATTTAAATACTTAATCTACCACGTTTCATGTCATTCTGTCCTGCACTATCAGATTCCCGGACTGCTCATGCTTGTATTTTTGTTGGTGCCTGCTCCATCGGAGACACGGACTAGCAACTGTACAATGAGCACATGACACATCAGTGAATAAATGACCTGTTTGGGACCCTCCTGCTGATCACTGTCAGCTGCTGATAATTTGTGTTAAGCAACTTCCCACTGGAATTAAAAGGTCACTGTGTCTGATGTGACCCCAGGAAGAATGAGTACCTGGCTCCCTACTGGTGTGTATTTCTCCGGGTTTTAGGTAAGTTCTTGAGAGAGATTTTTGTCTTACCTCCTATTAAATTCATTATACACAATGTGGTTTGCCAACTACAAAATTCACTTTCAATGTATACTTCTTGGAAACTTGTATTTAATCTAGTAATTTAGTTTTACTCAGAATATAAATTGATTGGTGAAGTAGGAATCAGTGGTATTTTAGTAAAGACTATGTAGAACTTTGTTTTTGCTTTTTAATTGATTAACTTAGGTCAAATTTGGAGGCAACCATGTAAATATGTTTAACAACTGTTGGATTTCAGCCCAAAGCCATCCTTCTTCCACCATTATTCCGGGGACAGATTGATGAGGAAGCGCTGATTAACATTTGCTTGTTTGCAGTAATCCGTAGATGACCAACTATAAACACTAAAAAGATGATTTCTCCCTTCATGATTTTCTGTCTTTCAACCCCCTGTATTTCCCCTTTCTAGGAGTCTGAATCACATGATTTCACAACTGTGGTTTCACCTGACTTTCCCTGAAATTCTTGATTTTAGAACCCTTGCCTTAATCCCTACTTTGGATCCGGGCACCCATTAGGGTTCCCCTTAATGGACCCAGTAAATATGTGATGTCTGTTAGCCACCTACTAAATGGGTGCTGAGAGCTTTGCAGGCAGGTGGGGATAGTTTAGTTTATGATGTAAGCGGTGAGAATAAAGAGAAGTGATGGGCTAGGCAGATAGATGAAGGGCTGAATAAGCTTCATTGTATCTGTCTGACTGGCTTGGGAACTGCCATGCATCAGAAAAGCACACTTCCATGGAAATCAGTATGGTGATTCATCAAAAAACTCGAGATAGAAATCCTGTTTGACTCATCTATTTTCCTATTAGGCATCATCCCAAGAATTAAAGATGTCATACCCCAGTGATACTGGGGTCATACTCCCATGTTTATAGCAGCACAGTTTGAAACAGCCTATATATCCACCAACAGATGAATGGATAAAGAGAAGGTGGTATTCATAACACAATGGAGTACTACTCTGCTATGAAGAAAGATAAATTTAAGTCACTTGTAGGAAAATGGGAGCCCGTGAGACCATAATGTTAAGTGAAGTAACTCAGACATACAAGTTTAAATCTTGCATGGTTCTCTTATATGAAAACTTAGTATATACTTAAAGTAGGAAATAAGAGACAGATAACAGGAAAAAGAGAGACACTGCAATTCAATGGGAACAATGTACCTGAAAGTATCTTCACCTAGTACAATTGTCATGGATTTTATATGTTAGTCTGATTTTCAGCCTGTATGTATGATAGTTAACTTTATAAAGTCTTATCAGATAAATAAATGAATCTGATCCTGGAAAAAGAAAAAGGAGGTAAAGGGAAGGGCAAAAATAGAATTGAAATGGGCTATGTACATGTACCAGTTTCTTGCATTGAATGTAATCATTATGTACTGTAAATTTGTACTAATTAAATTTTTAAAAATTTAAAAGTTACCCATAAAAAAGAAAATAGATGGAAGGAACCCCTGGGTGGGTCATGTAGACAGGCCCTTGGGTATGGGTAGTGAACCTGGTCCCAGCCCCTTCCTCTGGGGCTCCTTTCCCCTACTCTGCTTCCTAGCCACCACGAACCAAACAACTTCACTCTGCCATTCCCTTCTGCCATGATGCTTCTCCTTGGAGCTCGTCAAGCACTGACTGAACCGCATGAAACTGTGAGCTAGATTAACCCTCCTTACACTGTGGGTGTCAGTCAGTGTGTGCCATGGATAGGAATGCTGACTGATACAGATTCCAGCCAACCACAATACATGGGCACTGTCTACTGCCAAACTGAAGGGCTAAAGCTGAAAGAAAAAAACGTAGAATTCAGAAAATAGAAGATGCAATAGAGGAAAGAAGTACAAGTGTACAGGATAAGAGTGAAGAGTAATTCCTGGAAACAGGTATGTATGACGTCTGAGTTACTTCACTTAACATGATGGTCTCTGACCTGGAAAAGCAGGGATCCTTTGGGAAGAGCTCATCTTCCTGCCCATTCACTTGTAGAGAAAAGACTTATCAATGGAAAAGTTTTGGAGCCCCTGTATGTCGGAGAATGGAATTATTTTATCTAGAAACAACTTAAAGTTTGGCTGTATACACACTGGCAGATCAGAAATACTTTTCCTTTGTATATCTGAAGGCACTTTTTATGTATTATATAGTGTATTTTAGTTTTAAAAAGCCAAGTTCTATACCTACTCAAAATCATGTTTTTGCACTTGACTTTCTCTCTCTCCTCTCAGTCCCAGTCTTGCAACTCATAGCAAAGTGGTTCGTTCAATGTGTTCTTTTTAATCTATTGTACTGAAAAACCAATGGACTCCTTCACTCTGGCAGCTCTTATCTTGCAGCTGTTTTTAAACTTTCTCTTATTTAATTGATAATTTCTTTGTCATTTGCTTCATTAATTTTTTCTTTTCTGTAATTCCTATTAGCTAGATGACAAAACAATTGCTTATATTTAGCCTAGAATTCAAATAATTATGCTTTTATAATTTTTATACCTTTTGTGTTTTATTCTACTTTCTGGGGATTTTCTCAAAGTCACCTTTTAAATTCAGCTCTGAATTGCACTTTATCTAATAGCACAAATTTCTTGTGAAAGAGTTACATGATGTTGCTGAGATGTTCCTTTTTCACGATGTCCTATTTGGGTTTTGGAGTGCACATCATCCTCATTTCTTTCTGAAGATATGAACTGTGGGCTTCTCTGTCTTTTCCACATGCTCCCAGAATCACTCCTGAGTTCCATTTTCTGTTTCTTTTCATCTTCATTTCTTTTTCTTTCTTTTTTTTTTTATTTGTCTTTTTCATTTTTATCGGTACCAGGGATCGAACTCACGACTGCCTGCTTGCAAGGCAGGTGCTTATGCCGCTGAGCTAAATCTCCAGGCCCTCACCTTCATTTCTTATCATACAAGTTTTCCCTCAAAGATCTGATGACCCCTGGCTATCTTCCTGACTTGAAGAATGAGGCTCTAAAAATCGAATTGGAAATTTTATATGCATGGCTTGTTTCCCTGCAAGATGACCTGGCAGCAAGCCAAAGAACATTCTGCAGGGGAGAATCCTGGTGCTCTGCCAAGGTGGACCCATGTTCATTTGTATACAGAGACTTTCAGTCCATTTTTCTGCTTTCGGCACCAAGAAACTCTTCAGTTTCTTGTCTAGTATTTACTGTCTCTAATATTCTGTTGAGTTAGGTGAAGTAAATCAATTCATAATCCTTTAAGGATACTTTGCAATGTAATTAATAATCACTTTGCAGTGTAGAAGTATATAAAGTACATTTTATTTTTCTGCCTGGTAAAAATATGTTGACTTCTCTTATCTGCTGATGTCTTTCTTCTGTTTTCTCTATTCTTGAGTATGAAATATTTATAGATTGCTTTTCTATATGCTGTATATGTCATCTTTTCTGTTTTCTCTATTTGTAAGAGTATGTTATATACATATAATTTTTAATACATATTTGCAGTAAATAACGATTATATTCATACATTAGAAAACATCTTAATCCTTTTTTACAGCCCCATTGATCTTCTCTCCCTCCTCCTCCTATCTCTCAGTCCCCTTCTCATTGGAAAAGCTCCATCTTCCCGTTTCTATTGGCTATCTTTTATGTTGCTGTTTATTTGCCTTTCAGGTTTCTCATATTAAAAAATCATAGACACTTAATTATATATATATATATATATATATATATATATATTTTTTTTTTTTTTTTTCAGTTCAATGAGGCCATAGACTGGAAGAATAGATGAACAGATGAATCAACAAGGTGATAAATAGCTTCCATGTTTAAAGGAAGGGGTTTTAAATAATCCATTTCATCTGTGCAGTCCCTGATTCGCAGACCTATTAGCGGGTGCAT